TTACCAACTGGATTCCACGGGATGTCAAAAGATCACGTGGCCCCATACCTACGAGATGGTCAGACTTCTTTGTCAAGACCCAAAATGAGTGGTTTGAGGCTTTTCGTGTTCCTGGAGCGAGCAGATGCCATTCGGCTACACTATCATGCGATAGGGATGAATGGAGACGTTACTGGTGCCCACTCTAGCAAATTGATGAGTAACGGGATGTCAAATAATCAAGTAATATTATGTTGCTGAATTATCCCCCCCCGCCCTTACAGAACCTATACCTTCAGTTCTTTAATCCACATAGGATTTTGATGGTATACTATTGTTGAAATTAAGTAGAGTTTATCAATTTGAATTATTTCCTAGCCAGTTATTTCATGCACGTGTTTTTTTTTTGTTTGTTTGTTTGTTTGGCCTGCACCCGGCCATGATCAGGGCTTATTCTTGGCTCTGAGCTCAGGGATCACTCCTGACAGTGCTTGAAATAATGCCAGGGATTTAACTGAGGTTAACTGTAATCAAGACAAGTGCTTTTTCCCCTGCACCATTTTTCTGGACCCCTATTACTTGTGCTTTTTAAATAAAAAGAGTATAATGTAAGTATGAAAACAACGGAAAAAATTTAGCTGATGCTTATACAGAGTTTAGTAGGGAGAAATTAAAGGACTGTGTTTATTATGAGATAAAATGCCATTTATAAATTACAGAAGGAATTCCTAAAGGATGATTTTTGGAATGGATATTTTATTCGTACAAGAAAATTGAGACTAGATGGCAAAGAAAAGCTTACAGATACGGAAATAACCAAAGAAAGACTAAGCTAGAAGGGGACCCAAATAATGCCATGGAAGAGAGCATCTGTATTTCAGCTTGGTGAGTGTGAGAATAATGAAATAATCTTGTCCTAAAGCAGTAGGCAGAAGTGGATGATTCATAAGAGTCCCATCATCATGAATTACTCTCCGGTTGTGTGCCTGTGTAAAGACTGAAATCAATGTATGGACAAGTGCTTTTGTATTGGATTTAGAAAGCATCTGTCATACTCGGAACCTTTTCACTTTCAACCTACTTTGAATTTAATTCAAATTAGAACCTGGTTACTTGCGGTGGAGAGATTCATAAACAGGAAACAAAACATTGAGCATTTGGAGTCTCAGAGGAAATGCATTTGGGGTTTTTTTGCCCTGTTTGTCACAGTCATGATGAGTACTATTTTACCATCTGCTCAGAAATAAAAGAGAACCGTAGGGACTTGTTTTTTGTTGTGTTTTTTTTTTTTAAGTTACAAATAAACTCTCTGGCTGGCAAATTTCAGTGACTGTTAGAAGTGTAGTTACTGACCTTAGGACAACTTTTGTACACATATTGCCTGCATTTGGACTACAGTATGCTGTCGTTGCCTACTCGGATTGGAGTTGAGCATCCTCCACCCAGATCCTCCAAATTCCAGTAGGCGGGGTTCACACCCACCACCTGGCCCCCTGGCGCCGTGTAATCTCATCAGCGGCCAAGACTCAGAGACTATAAAATCCAGCTCCCGGACGAGACCAGTGCAGTCTCCTGCCCCTGCGCCTGGCTGTTCCTCGCCGGGGTCCCTTGGAGGGGAGTGGGTTGAGCTTTCCTCCCCGCCCCGACCAGGACTCCGGCAGCGGAAGACCTCCAGGACCAGCCACTACCATGCCGAGACCACTCTCCGCACACAAGAAGGTACTGGCAGAGGGACAAAGCCACGCGGGTTCTGGGGCCGAGATCTCCAAGCCTACTCGGATTGGAGTTGAGCATCCTCCACCCAGATCCTCCAAATTCCAGTAGGCGGGGGTCACACCCACCACCTGGCCCCCTGGCGCAGTGTAATCCCATCAGCGGCCAAGACTCAGAGACTATAAAATCCAGCTCCCGGAACCGCGCGGCCGCATTTGCGGCCTGCGCAACATCTTATCAGGACATCTTTTTATGACATCTTATTATCTCATTTCTACTTTGAACAAACTTGCAGGCTATCGAATGTAGCCTGCCCACAGGGCAGAGTCTGGCAAACTCCCCGTGGCGTACCAAATATGCCAAATACCAGTAACAATGATGGGTCTCATTCTCCTAAAGAGCCTTGAATATAATCTCAGGGCTAGGATGAAAGAGACGTTACTGGGGCCTGCTCGAGGCAATGGACAAATAACAGGATGATGAATGAATGAATGATGAATGCTGTCGTTAGAGATGGAGAATTTTCAGCTTGCACAAAAGGAGAGAAACTGACAGAAATTCATGTATTTCTGCTTTAACATCTCTCAGTATAACTATCTGCTTTAAAAGATACAATTGCTAATTAGTCCTAAGACTAATATGTACTTTACATTTGGTATCTATTTTTTTCACTTGTAATATGTTTCTTTTCTTTTATTTAAAATAAAGCTTCATATAAACACCTGGGCTTGCAAAATTGTTCATAATACAGTTGTTAAAAGCTTTTGTTGTTCAGACACCAATCCCATCACCAGTATAACCACTGTCCCCACTTTCCCCAACCACCTCCCATGCCTGCCTCCTTAGCAGACACACAATAATTTATTTTATATTACTTACAAAGAAATGACTAATGGAATTTTCAAAAATACTTGGTAAAAGAAAAGTTGTGACAATTGTTACATCTAGCCAGATTGCTAAATCCATGAGTTGCTGAGTCCTTTGAGGATTTACTAAGCTGTCTGTTGCTAGTCGAGCCTTCTGTGTAATTGTTTTTGTTTGTGGAGTTTAGTTGGAGTCTGTGTTACTTTCACATCTAATTTAGTGTACTTCTACTGGGATTTCGCTATTGTGGAATTTGGCTTGTGGCTGTGCCATCCAGAGACTTCATGTAAAACTCGACCAATGAGTTGACATGGCAGTGGCTGTGGGACTTTGGCAGGGTGGGGACTCAGCCAGGTCCTCTCCAGAGCCACCCTAGTGTTTTCAGCCAGGAGAACAGTGTGTGCATGAATTTTAACTGAGGTTTAGTCATGAAACTGAAGAGAGGCCAATTGTGTGAGTTAATTGAGACAACATGGCGGAACTGTGGGAGGTATTATTTTATTTTCTTATGTGGATACCTTTGTTCATCTATATTTTCATTTCCAAGAAAGTTCTCTCTATGCTTTTCTGACAATTACTAGGTATTTAAAGATACACTACTTGCTCCTGATGACTGTAAGTTCAAGTGTGTGGTGAGTTTGTTGGTCAAGAGCCACCTCCACAGGCCTCCCCAGCAGAGTAACAAAGATAGCATTAATCATTTTTCTGTGTTTAAGCAAAGAACATTGTTCTATAAAATATGAAATATAGTAAAACATGGGAAATTGAAAAGCAAGTAATTCCCTACAAATATGAAGTATAGAATCACCAGAAGGTTCACTTTATTCCCCAACCCTGACTTGGGGAATTGTAACAATGAAAGGTAAAGCACAAAGTAAAGGTTATAAACTTGGAGGATTAGGGGCACTCATAAGAGCAATTTAAGCTTCTCTAGGAGTTGGAAAAGGAGCAATTTTTTGGCTTTTAAATTTCAAAGCAATTTCAAAACTGCTTTCAAATTTTCAAGAAAACTGCTTAAATGTGTTCTAATATTTTGATTAAAAAATAAAAAACATATTTGGTTAAAATCAATTTAAGAAGGTAATGAAATATGAAATATCCCAAAGAGGGGTTTATCTAGCCCAGGTGGATTTAGAGATAGATTCTCAGAAATGTTGACTTTCAGATTTGGAAAGCCAAGTTTTACTGTGGGGAGAAGTTGTAGACAGGAATTAAAAGTAGAGATGGAGAAGGAAGTGAGGAATTAATTGTGAGGGAGGAAGAAAAGGGCAAGAAATAGGTATAACAACTGAGAATGCGTCATGCCCAGACATGAACTTTACCATGTCTAGTTCATGGTGACATGAAAGTCTGCTAGACTAGGAAGAAAAGTTAGGGATTTTCATGATTTTATCAGCCATGATACTGAGTTTGGTGTCTATTGAGGGCAAGCCTTTGGCTGTGAGTTGTGGAAAAAGTTAGCCATCATGGTTTTTTGTTTGTTGCTGCTATGCATTATCACATGTAACTCTCATAATAGTCTTTGGAATTGAACATTACTGTGTCTGTTTTTTTAGTAAATGGCAGCAAATAGAGATTAAATTACTACAAAGCTAATATAGTTCATCAGTAGTGAGCAGAAACTCAAGTCCAGATATCATGATAAATACTTGTGGACTTGATCTCATCTAAGGGGTGAGAAAAAAGTTCAAAGGGAGAAGAACAGTCCTGCTGGCTCATTTTCCCTGGCCTTATATATTAGTTTCATACTTTTTAAAAAATACATCCCACAACTAAATGGAGTCATTCTTTATCTGTCCCTCTCCTTCTAACTCATTTCACTCAGCATGATAATCTCCAAGTCCATCCATTTATAGGCACATTTCATGACCTTATTTTCCCTAACGGCTATATAGTATTTCATTGTGTAGATGTACCAGATTTTCTTTATCCAGTCATCTGTTCTCGGGCACTCAGGCTGTTTCCAAAGTCAGTGGTTGAGAATTACCACAAGGGTGTGGTGGATAGAGGGTAGTTAAGATAGAGGCAGATCATTGTGATAATACTGGTTGAAAATTATCACCCTGGACAAGAACTGAGTGTTGAAGTAGGTAAAAGACTATACATGATAACCTCTCTGCATCTGTATTGCAAACCATAACGCCAAAAATGAGAGAGAAAGAGAGAGAGGTCCCTGCCATAGAGGTAGGCTGGGTGTAGCATGGGAATGGTCATGGCTTGAAGGAGTGGGAGGCAAAATTGGGGACACTGGTGCTGGGAAATCACACTCGTAGAGGGATGGGGGTTGGAACATTGTATGAGCAGAACTCAATCATGAACAGCTTTGTAACGCTCACAGAGTAATTCAATTAAAAAAAAAGTAAGAAATGAAAGCAATTCATGCCATTTCCTGTGGTTATTTGTGCTTTTGTTTGAATGGGGTTTTTGTTGTTTATGTTTTTCAGATCTCTTTGCAAGAAAATAGACAAACTGCTTCAGTCAACTGTAATCTTGTCACATCACCAAGATGAATCTGTTGGCCAGAAGTGCAATCAGTTGTCTCAAGATTCAAAGAATTCAGCAATTTAGGGCACGGCTTAGCCATACAAAATGTGCACAAGGTTTTCATGACAGATACGGAAATGTTCTACTAGTCAGTGGAGGTGCTTTCTGTTTTGTTACATGGTGGTTTGTACTCACTCAGTCTGGAGTAAATTTGAATCTTTCCCCTGTTGGCAGAGTCACCCCCCAAGAGTGGAATGGTTAGTAACCATCAGAGTTGCTACAAAGCAGAATTATTTGAAATGTAAATTGCCTTTAAGTTGGGGGATGTTATTTAGAATATATCATAAATGAAAAAATAAAAACATTTGAAACCTTTAAAAAGTCATTGGTTTGTGTGTTTTACTGTTTTGTTATGTAATTGTTTGTTTTCTATATATTTTGGATATTGAGCTCTTATAAGATGGATGGGATGCAAGTATGTTTTAATTCTAGGTTACCTTTTTTTGGCCATAGTTCATTTTTCTGTAAAAAAAAAATGTGTCTTGATTTTTGCACAGCACCATTTGTTTTCGGATTCCTCCATCCCTCTCTGAGAGCCCAACAAGCTACCGAGAGTGTCCCACATGCACGGCAACGTCTGGCAAGCTCCCTGTGGCATATTCAATATGCCAAAAACAGTACCAAGTCTCACAATGGAGACGTTACTGGTGCCTGCTCAAGCAAATCATTGAACAACGGGATAACAGTGCTGCAGTGCTACCATTTGTTTATTACTACCTTTATTTTCTTAGCCACTGGAATTGAGTTTTCAAATATATATCTTATATGTTCTTGGAATGTATCATGTATGTAATTCATCTGTGTATTTTATGGTTCTAATTCTGATATTTAACATTTTATTTTAATTAATTTTTATGTTTGATTTATACCAAATAGTGATCATGTTTGCCTTTTTGCATGTGTTCGTCTGGTTTTTCCATCTTATTTGTTTACATTGGGAGGAGGCTTCTATTTCATAGACTTGAGTCCTTTATCACAGATTAGATGTCCATTGAATGAATCAATATTGCAGGGAACAGAATATTTGAATTCTTTTCCATTGGACTGTGGGCTTGGTTTTGTTCCAAAATCACAGTTTTTAATTATTGTTGCCCAGTAATATAGTTTTAAATTAAGAAGTGTGAGGCCTCCGTTTTTTCCTTTTCTCTTGGCTGCCTGTAAGGATGAGGAAGCATTGAGATGTGAAGAACCCCAGAAATGTGCTTCCCTGGAAGTGAATTACTGATTGTCCCCAGACCCTCTTTCTGCAGTGAGGGCAGCTTTGTTCATCCCTGCCTTGTCAGTTGTGTGATCTAATGGTGGTTCCCTGCAGTGACACATCCTGCATAGAAAGCTCAGCCAGGCATGTTGGTTCTAATGTGGTCCAGGACCGTGGCCCGTGGTGAAACTTGAGAGCGGGAGCTGTGTGAGAGAAGAGGTGAGTGACGGGCAGGGTTGGGCCCATGCCAGCAGCAGCCATGACCCTTGCTGGACTTCCCCCCAAGCAGGGCTGACACTGCCCACAAGGGAGCCCCTCTAATCCCCTGTACTGACTGCTCTGAGGACCTGCCTCTAACTTCCTTAGGTCTTTGATCTTATTTAACTTTATTCTGGCTTGATCACTTGATCACTTGAAATCCCGTTGCTCATCAATTTGCTCGAGCGGGTGCCAGTAACATCTCCATTCATCCCTGTCATGTGCTAGTGTAGCGCAATGGCATCTGCTCGTTAAGAACACGAAGAGCCTCAAACTGATCGTTCAGGGTCTTGACGAAGAAGTCCGACCATCTCATAGGTGGGCGGCCATGTGGTCTTTTAATGTCTGGTGGAATCCAGTTGGTAATGACTCTAGTCCATCAGTCGTCTCCAAATCAAATTACAGGTCCAGCCCAACTGATTTTCGATGCTGTGGCAAATGAGACAGCGTCCCTGATTCTTAACCATCCACGGAGGTCAGAACTGCGGATTCTTTCTCTCATTTGAGTGAAACGTGATACTCCAAGCATAAGTCTTTCGATTCCTCTTAAGGAGACCCGAATAGTGTTCTCATCCTGTTTTCATAGGACCAAGGTCTCTGAGGCATATGTTAATGCAGGAAGAACAGTGGAATCAAAGAGATGTGCCCAGAGCCAGAGGTTCTTCGTCCTCTTTGCTATTTCATTGACAAGGACACCGACACCACCAATGCCTCTTTTGTCACATATTCCAAGGAAAAGTTCTTCTCCAGTGTCAAAAACGGCATGATGTGATTGATGCCTTCTCGTCTTCGTCAGACCAATGATGTTGTACTTGATCTTTTGCGCTTGTATCATCAGGTCTTCGATGGATACATCTGATACCAGGGTACGTGCATTGAAAGAACAGATAGTCATTTTTGTCTTTCTTCGTTTGGCGGCTTAGTTCAGCCTTGAGATTTCATCAGCCTTTCCTTCCACATTCTTCTCAACACTGCCATATTGGTGGCTCCTTCAGGGTCAGGGGAATGAGACCCATTGAATTTACTGGTTTTGGCATATCAAATATACCACGGATAGCTTGCCAGGCTCTGCCTTGTGGGCGGGATACTCTCAGTAGCTTGCCAGGCTCTCCGAGAGGGATAGAGGCTTTTGGGGAAGCCTCTAATCATCCTTGTAGGTGTTCCCATGGTTCAAATCATATTTTAACCCTATCAAATATGGTGTGTCAATCCTGGAAGATGAGTGTTAAGTGTCTTATGATGTGTCGCGTGGCTGCAAAGCCACGGCGCGGTCCAGAAAGTATCCTGGAGCATGGCGGCAGTTGGGTAGTGGAGGTCTGCAGGTCTGCATGTGAGGTATTTATCTGGTACCAGTAGGGTGGGTCTTCCGTGCATAATCCAATCCCTGGGTTGCCAGCGGTTAGTGGAAGCAGACAAGGCAGGGTAGGGTGGGGCTCCTGGTTTTAATTCCTTCCTCACTTGTGGTTGGTGGGAGCAGGCAGAGGATCTCTGTCCCCTGCTCCGTTGAGCCTGGAGTCCAAGGTCTCAGAGTTCCGCTTATCTTGTTCTGTGGAGCTTCACTCATGCATGGGTCTTGGCCTGAGCATCCAGAAAGCATCCTGAAGCATGTCGGCGGGTGGGTAGTGGAGGTACTGGAGTTTCTGGCTTACGTTTTACAAAAGGAGCGCATTTTCATGTTCTTCAAAATCCCAGGGCACAGTGGGGAATTTGGTAAATCTGTCCTTTGACTCCACGGCACCAGACTTGCACCAGGCTGTTTTCACTCAGGGTGCCCCAGAGGGGGTGGGTGGGAGCCCTCCCTATCCTAAGGGACCCAGCCGTGGCAGCCAACCTCCGTTACCCACCGCCACCATGCTCCAGGCTGCTTTCTAAACTGTGTGCCCAACCCATCATGAGACACTTCCTATCCATTTTACATAATTACCACACCATGTTTGATGGATTTCAGACAATAGGCAACAAATCATAGAGAAATGTGTGTGTGTGTGTGTGTGTGTGTGTGTGTGTGTGTGTGTGTGTGTGTAGGAGAGCCTGGCAAGCAACTGTGAATATCATGCCTGCATAGGCAGAGTCTGGCAATCTTCCTGTGGCATATTCAATATGGCAAAACCAGTAACTACAACAGATCTCATTCCCCTGACCCTGAAAGTGCCTCCAATCATTGGGAGAGAGGAATAAGGAGAGTGTGCTAAAATCTCAAGGCTGGCTTTTGGAAAACAGTATGGACAATTCTCAAAAAATTAGAAATTGAGCTCCCATTTGACCCAGCAATACCACTCCTGGGAATATACCCCAGAGAGGCAAAAAAGTATAGTCAAAGTGACATCTGCACTTCTTTGTTCATTGCAGCACTGTTTACAATAGCTAGACTGGAAAAAACCTGAGTGCCTGAGAACAGATGACCGGTTAAAGAAACTTTGGTACACAATGGAGTACTCTACACAATGGAGTACTATGCAGCTGTTAGAAAAGATGAAGTCATGAAATTTATATACAAGTGGTACTACATGGAAAGTATCATGCTAAGCGAAATAAGCCAGAAAGAGAGGGACAGACATAGAAAGATTGCATTCATCTGGGGAGCATAAAGTAACAAAATAGAAGACTAACACCCAAGAATAGCCGAGATAAGTACCAAGAGGATTACTCCATGACTTTGAGGCCAGCCGCACATGCTAGGGGAAAAGGCAGCTGAGATAGAGAAGGGAGAATCAAATAAAGGGTGTTGGGAGGTTCCTCTCAGGATGGGAAATGCGTGATGAGAGTAGACTATAGACAGAACGTGATTGCTACTCAGTGTCCCTTTTGCAAACCACAGCACTCAAAAGGAGAGAGATAACAAAAGGGAATGCCCTGCCACAGAGGTAGGGGGGGATGGGATAGATGGGGGGGTGAGAGGGATACTGGGATCAGTGGTGGTGGAGAATGGGCACTGGTGGAGGGATGGGTATTAGATCATTGTATAACTGAAACCCAAGCACAAAAATTTGTCAGTCGACAACTGTACCTCATGGTGTTTCACTAATAAAAATTTAAGGAAAAAAAAATCTCAAGGCTGGGACGAATAGAGATGTTACTGGTGCCCACTCGAGTAATTGATGATCAACGGTATGACAGTGATACAGTGATCTCTTAAAACTATTTTAAATCTGTAGACTACTTTAAATAAAAACAGCCATTTTAATAATAATTATTATTCAATTCCGTGAACTCACAATTTCTTTCCATTTGTGTGTGTTTATGTTTTTGTTTGTGTGTGTGTGCATGTGCATGTATACTTGTGTACATGTGCATGAACTTATAATTTTTATATGTATTTTAGTGCTTAGGTCTTTAGTCTCATTTATTCATATTACTAACAAGTATCTTTTTGATGGAATTGTTATTCTGATTATTTCTTTAATTTTTCTTTCCTCTAACACATTGTGTGCCTTTAGTCATAAAGCATTTATGCACAGGTTTTTTTCATTCTTATGCTCTACTGAATTCAGTATTTCTAGCAGTGTTGGGTGGATTCTTATGATAGACTTATTTTTTGGTGGTGTGATGTATATTATGCCAACTGCAAATAGTAATAGTTTTAATTCTTTTCCAATTAGACTTCATTATATATTTTTATGCCAAATTGCTCTGGCAAGAAATTTCAAAACTATGATAAAGAATAGTGCTATTGAATATCTTTTTCTAATTCCAGATTCTAAGGGGAAACTAAAAGCTTTAAACTGAAAGGTTTATCATCAGTGTGTTGCTTATACATTTGTTTTATGTGGCATATTGTATCATGGCATGAACCTTCCAGTTGCAGTTTATTTAGAATTTTACTATAAATGGATATT